AAATGTGGATGTCCGATCTGTAGGTACACAGTAAGCCATTGAATAATATTGCATCATGGGAGTTTGTGATCTATTCTGGAGGACGTCGGTTCGCCGTTGTTGGCAGTATACCATTTTTTACGTGTCTACTAATCACGCGTTTGCAAGTAACGTTAGAACAATACACTGTGTATTGTCATACAAATTAATGTATTGTGATCTACGGAATGTGCATCATAAAGATAATTCTATTGGCCAATTCCGGCCTACTGCAGTTAACGAGTGGGGAAACTCGCCAGTGAATGACATTCCCGATTTTGGTTCTGAACTGGATGTGCCTTCTAATTTATGTTACTGGCTACGGAGGTGTACTGCGGTGCAAGGGAATCCACCCGGACCACTCTCCTTCTACAAGTTACGAATATTGGACAGATAAACTCTGTAATTGATTGGTATCGTGCTCGACTGAGTGTGCAGCGTGTATTCTACGACTACAGTGCTTCTGACTGCGTTTTGTAATTACCATCGTCGCCACCATTAGCAGAGACTCGCTGGAAAATACACCGTTATCACGCAAAGACGCGTTTTCATCTAGTTTGAAGAAACTGTATGTAGGTAGGGCTGTGTCCGATCGCCAGTATATTATTTGCGTCCGTTGTTTGTTATGTATGTTTGTCTCTTAGTTTTATGCATGCATGCAAGATTCTATGTTAGACAATTATTTACATTATCGATTTAGGCATTTCCTCGTAATAGTATAACGTAATCCACTACCCTTTTCCCGTGTGGAAATATTACAATATTATTACTGAATTATATTTCTAGTGTTATATTTTTTGTGTAACAAAACAACGTGTACCCCACTACCCCTTGTAACGGGTCAGGCATTTCCTGCCCATCTTTTAGGTGTGTGGAATAAAGTACGTTGTTTAAACCTTACTCGTGTAGCGTGTACTTGTTGTTTATGTCGCATATAAATTATATAACTGTCCTAAGTTTCGAATTATTAAAGGACCCAGTTCACAGGGGTGTTATGGGTGTCATTTGTTTGGGACAATTTGAAACCTTAGCTCAACCCAACTAGCACCCTGTGACAATGCTCAAAATAAAATAACATACAAAAATAAACTTAAATGACAGAAACACCATTTCTCTATAAGTAATTGTAGACTAACATGTTTGGCTTCCTTATCCACAGGTGGGGTTGGATTTGTGACAGATTCTGGGAGTACACGTACAGAAGCAGCATCACGACTTGTACCCGCAACATGGCTTCCTGCTGTGCATTTTTCTTCACTGGCATTCTGAAATATAAAAAAAGGAACATTGAGTACATGTAACTATCTTTTTGTATTTCTAAGAAAGTTTTCATTATTTTTTTTACTAACTAAAGCTAGACAAATAATGAATAACCATCATCTACTTTCAAACCAAAACAAAAGAAAAACAATATAAATAAACAAATAATGCCAGATTACTTAAACTTCATTGTTGTAAAGTTTTAAAAATCAAAAAGGATGTTAGAATTCCAATTGACCAATCCAGAAATGGTATTGTGACATTCTCATTAGTTCTAATTAATATAATGACTTCAACATTATCCAATTGGCAAGCCCCTATAATAGTTGCTGACATACCTATATCATTTAGATGAAAAATAGATGTCTGGAACCTATGACGTATTCTTACCCCAAGTGCCTCTCCTTTCCCTTTCCAGGCTGGTCCAGCAAATCTATAAAACTTTTCTTCTTTTTCTTTTTCCTTTGCTTCGCGCCGTGGCTTCAGTATTCGGTCATTAAAGTCAGTTGCCTACAAATTCACCAGTGATGATTTGTTTACATGTACATTGCATTGAACTTCACGGCGAAATGACAAAATCAGTTTATAATTTATTATGCTATGCACTGCCAGTAAATTAAACGTTACTTACTTATTGCAGTATGTATGACACAATATGCAACAATGAAACAAATTTTATTGAGTCCAAGTTTGTTTTGAGTTCATAATATAAATACATCTTACAATCATTTCAGATTATCGATGGATGTGAATTTTTTATAAATGTTTATTCAAACCAAAGACAGTAATTATGGCATTTGTTTCTCTAAGGTGCATCCACAGATCAACTAAATAAATATGTGTGTGACATCTCTGATCATAGCTGCATATGTGAAAAATAATATATTTTCGATCAGTCACATGGTTTGACTGCCATCTTGGATTATATGTAAAAATGATCAAAAGTTTAGGCATTTGTTTCTCAAAGGTTCTTCAAACGATCTACTGGATGTTTTTATATATAACGTGCCTGGCCATAGCTTCATATGAGAGAAATAATATAAATTTGATGTGTCATATGGTTTGGCCGCCATCTTGGATTTTGTCAAAATCGAACTTGTGCAATTACATGTGTTGTATTGGTCCGATTTGGCTAAAATTGTGTATGTAAATTCTCCTCCAGAGTCGCAATGTTTCCCATGAATGTCACATGGCTAGGTCCCTTAGCTATGCGCCCATGGGGTGGGGGCTTCTAACCTCATTAATATGCATAACTGCTATATCTTAAGCACTGTTGTAGTTAGGAAGATGAAACCTGTTGAATTATGATGACGTTAAACAAGAGATTGGAATAAAATAACAGATGACCATACATGTATATGGTCAGGTGAACTCATTAATATACATAACTGTTATATCTCAAGCACTGTTGCAGGTAGGAAGATGAAACCTGTGTTATTACAATGATGTTAAACAAGAGATTAGACTAAAATAACAGATGACCATATATGGTCATGTGAACTCATTAATATGCATAATTGTCATATCTGAAACACTGTTGCAGTACGAGACATACAACCAGTGCCATAATGAAGGCATCAAACAAAAAATGTAACTGACATAAGAGAATACCATTTATGATTATGTAACCTCATTAATATGCATAAGCACATGGCTCCTTGTATATTCTAAAAATCATATCTCGATAACCAAACCAGGTAAATATAGCAGGAACCATCGGCACGTCAATCTTATTGTACACATCATTCAAAGTACCTTAATGGCAATTCAGTGACCAATTTAATTACGAAATTCGTCTGATAGCTTGGGCCCCAGTGACGCTGCTTGCAGCTTTAATTATTATTATTATTATCTTACATATTTTCATAATTTTCTTGTATTTATTTACTTTAGTTATTTTTTTATTGATTTCCCTGTAATACTTACAATCTATGGTGAATAAAAATATTATATTATATATTATTATATTATACATAGAACACTTTCCTGGAGTATTTGAAACCAAAAATTGTCATTCCAGCTCAGCAGCCAATCAGCGACAGCCTTACAGTTAGATGACAATTTCGGTTTCAAATACCCCAGGGAAAGTGTTCTATGTTCTTCGTGTAATTAGGTGTTCGTATTTAAGGGATTTTTTCACACAAAAACAACGAATTCAATCGAATTTTGTTATATTTCTGTGAAAGATTGGCATTTTTGTCCTGATTTGTAGGAATCTGAAAAACACGTTTCACAACTCGTCTCTTACTTAGTTTTATGCCGCATTCAAGATGGCAGCCCAAATATAGTAAATATCGCATTTATTTTGTTATCACGTGTGCGCCAGCTGACTGTGGATGCGGCATCAAATCTATTTTAAAATATGTTGCAATTACATGTATCAACTTTGTCCAGCGTGAATGATGAGCTTCTACCTATTTCCTGTCTAATTCATTTCATGATGTATTCTGTTGCAGCTTTATGTATATAGAGTAATTTTTGCTTGGCTGTATTAGCACCCTTGCTGCTACTATGTTACCGAGGTTTCATAAAGTGATTGATTGACACATGTCTCACTACGTAGCATGCATATACATGTTCTAAGGCTACAGGTCTGTACAGGCTACTTTACACTATTAATCGTACATGTGTTGAATGCTAATTAACAAGCCAAATCTCATGACCGCGAGTTAGAACATCCAAAGCAAATAGTGTAGAGATGCAAAATAAATAAAAAATAATACCTTCACTGTATGCTCCCCTTGTAGTTTCTGCCTTGATGCTTCTTTTTTGGTATTCAACTCATCTTCACTAAGACCTGATATCATCAAATATAAATTAATAAATAATTAGACCTATGAGAACAATAAGCCCAGCCCCACACTTATCTTGTGTCAGTTTAAACCTTTCAACTTTATTTGCCACAATATGTACAGTACAAGACAGACTTTAGGAAAACATGTTTTGATTGAGAACTTTTCATACTCGGTATTAGTTTATTGGTGATAGTTTTTTTTAAATTAATTGAAACCATAAACTAATATTACAGTTACTATTACATTTATAAAGTCACATAACTCAAATACTTGTTGCTTCAAAAAAACCCTGAAAAATTATGTTCCAGTTAATAGGCGAAAACCATAACTTGGCAGGTATGAATTCAAACTGTACCATTATTTCCAAAAAATAAATAAAAATAGTATTTTCATAAAAAAAAAATTGGCTTCCCTAATATAGACATAATTTAGAATGCACAAATTGCATTAAAAATTAAGGCCACCTAACTTTCTGAATTTAAGTATAGCCCAAGCTCATTCCATGCAGTGATCAAACTGTGCTAAATGCTATAATTTACAAAAGTGAAAATAAGACTAACTGTACTTACCTTGTTGTATGACAACCTTTTTTCTCCTTCTACTGTGAAAATTCTGTAGTAGGTACTCCACATGGTTACCAAGGAGAAATATTAGCATTGTCATCAATCCCAGACATAGCAAAGAAATAACAAATATGCCAAGTAGTCCTTGCAGATCTAAAAATACACAATATACAAGTTTTTAAAGCAGGCGGCGATTGTCACCATGCATACGCAGAAATTAAGGCTTGTTTGTAAACACTGACACGCTATGGCATTCGGCCACTTGCACAAAAGATGATTAACTCAATTCAATCATTTTCACATCACAGATATAGACGACTGAATGCCAACAAGAATGGCACACTAGATTCAATACATGCCTCAATTTACTTGTGTTGACATCAATGTTTTTTTTAGGTTAATTTCAGTTTCTGGGGAAATGAAATTATGGCATCCGAAGTTATATAGATTTCATTATTCAGAATGCTAGAACCAATTACAAGACAAATTTTATCTTCACAAATTTCAGAAAATATGACATATTACTGAATTTTCTCTAGTACACTATCACAGTTCAAGTGTAACTTAACTCCTAAGCTAAAAACTTTTTAAAGTGATTATAAGTTGAATCAGTCTTCATTTTAGTCATTACAAAATTAGGGTAATTCACAAGTCAATGAACTATGATTCAAATATTCCAGGACGAAACGTAGATCATAAATTCTGCAATAACTATTAGCAGAGGTACATTACTTGGGGTTTGCAACGTGCATAGTACTGTATGGTGACATCATGCCAAGATCCCATTCAAGTCTCATCTCGTAGAAGATAGTGAGACTGATGCTACGACCTTCTGACCTGACATAGGCGGTTTGTAATAAAACAATATAGTTATTGTAATCCGTCATAACATGAGCAGCTATTTTGATCCACCTGGACATCTCAGTATCCTAGTTACCTCGGGCATGCGCATTCGCTTTTTTCTGAGTTGGAACACTTATGCGAGAGCGAGATTGAAACGGGATCTTGGTATCATGTCACCGTAGTTGCAAACCCCAAGTAATGTACCTCTGGTATTAGATATTTATCATCATTCGTGTTACGTATGCAGCCATTTTGGATACAAAATTTTAGTATATAATTACTATTTTGAGTAGGATTCAAACTCCAAAGCATGTTGAAACATTTGACCATATAGACCTTTTACCTACACCATGCCTATACCCAACCCGTACCTTATTTCCGAAAAGCTCTGTATCTTAAATATTGTTTTGAATTTGTATCGTGAGACTACCTTACTACAAACCCTAGCTGCAGTTCTGTAGCTCACAATTCCCGGTCTTCGCGTCATGGGGGATTCGTTGATATGTAAATTTCTATAACCTAACACTACCCAATGTGTACTTTAACCGACCTAGACAATCCTACCCTAGAACTAGAAGGCCAAACACCACAACTCACTACACAACGTTATCATTCGAATTTAAGGCAAAGGCAATCATGTTGTTTTATGCCGAACGTCAACACAGTGATTGCTAAATTCTTACCTATCTGATAGAACGTTAGTGATCCAAGGCATAACGAAAACACCATGAATAAGACCCAATCTGTACCCATCTTAACCTGGATTTGCACTCACGCAGTAACTGTTTTTTCACCTTTCAACTTTGACCCAATAAATCGACGTGTCCTAACTCTAAACCATCTCTAGGTGGCGCTCTTTGAATGGATTGTAGCTGTATGCAGCAAACCGGTTGATGTACGAGTATTTTCAATAGTATACAATCACGAAATATTTTATTTAAAAGTGCGCGATTAACCAATAGTGCTTGATACACAGTTTAATTGATGGATTGCATAGGCGACGGCACCCCCCGCAAAATTTGCGGGGGGCGAGATCTGCTCACCAATTTCGCGCCAAATGCGCGACCTTACTAGGGGGTCCAGGGGCTTGCTTGAAATCTAGACCCTCTTTAACTCTACTAGTATTTCCCCGCCCTGCCCCGTGCCGCCGCCACTGGATTGTGGTTTTCATTCATCCGAGGCAAAGCTATATTTATACAGTATGAAATAAATTCTCATTGCGAAGTTTTTTTTTCTTTGGTTAAAGAGCGGTGGTCGTCGCACCACGCATGCGCGGGATATGGGTCTCATATGGACAAAGATGGCGACTTTGACTGTTGCGCAGACCAACGAGCATAAACCGAGACGTTACCAAGCTTTATTAGGTAATTTCTTTGGTGATTGGAAGGTATCGGAGGAGTCCCCGGGGGTAATGAAAATTAGTGCACATCTTCACTCGAAGAGCGTACTGGACTATGGAAAAATCAATGTTAATTAACACATGGGTCGCACATGCTCGGCGCAACGACCGTGGCCACCACCCTTCAAGATATGGAATAAAATTGTATCACGAACGCATGGAAAAGCTGAAACTCCATTATAGCTCTAATCTAAATAATACTAAACTGAAATTGTATCTTGGTATAATATAAAATCTTGTATTTTTGTCACGATTTTATTTATTCATAAATAATCATATACATACGCCTGAAATGTGTGACCTGTTTTAATGGAATTCTTTACAACATTTACCATGGAAGACCCTCCACCAGTTGAAAAAAAGGTGAATTGGCCGATTATTAGAGAGATAAGTCAAGAAAACGGAATATAATTTGACTGACATAGTCTGATGCTATATGTACGACCATTCTCCTCTACGTATATTAATTCTACATATTAAATGAAATATTAATAAATATAGCAAACCGATGAATCTACAAATGAACAAATCTTAAGGGGTCTTTTGTGCATGATTACGTCATTCTGAATTTTTTTTATATGTACAATGAAAGAAACTATAATTTCTTTATGTTTGGTTTTATTCATCCGAGCATGTTTTCTTTCCTACCCTTTCAAATTTATAATATCACTATTTACATCATTGACGTAATCTATGCTTGTATAATAGTTTCAGATTACCCATGGATTTGGATTACAGTTAATTTTCATTTTTCTGAAAGCATTTATAAACTTACAAAGACTACCCCGACTAGAACTGGTGGATATTCTATTGCACTTCAAAAGCGCCCACAATATCTTAGACGAATGCGGAATTGTTTTAATGTATAATGCATGTATGTTCTAGAGAACCATCCCAATCACAAACTATAGCCTCGTGTTTGAATTTAAATTCACTTTTGCAAAGCTTTACAGTAAATATAACCAAATGAATGGATAATCTGAAAAGATTGTATATGGTATTTTTATTATTCCCCCAAGGATGTATAGTTTATTCACGAAATTGTTTTCTAGCTTCAAGCTACATTGTATTTAATACTTAGCCTGGAATCCAACCGTTGTCACAATTATAGACGGTATTAACAATAATTTCGATTCCAGTCACTTGAGAAAGATATATTTGTACAGATCAATAAACTAAATATAAACTACAATCAGCTTCGGCCCTCTCTACGAGCCACGAGGTTATTCGTACGTTCAATTGCAATCTTTTTCAGAATATCTTCGCTACCGACACATTTTTATTCTAAAATATTTGAATTCACCTCTATTTTTTAAAAATTAAAACTCATTTCCATTGATATCCTGAGTCCGATATACAAACAAATATTCGTGAAAATACGCTGAAAGGTCGACGTTCGGGAAAGGTCGACAAGATAGGGGTGAACCGACATTATCTCGATTTTAACGTGATTGACATTGACATATAGCGTATATATGATACACCAGTACATTGGTGCTTAGAATGCGTCGTTGTGATTGGTCTTTTTTTCTATTTCTATAAGCCATGTAATTATGATATTCTAAATCTAGAGCAATTGATTTGTTTAGTTGTCTCTTTAGTTATTTACAAGTTTTTTGAATAAAAGACAAAATTACATGGAAAATAACAATTTAATGTTAAATTTCGCTTTAGATAAAGTCTGCGTACAAGTGATGCAAGTTTATATGAACAAAACATGATTTAATAGAAGTTGATATAAATGACAACAACAGCCTTTCAATTGTAAGACTTTGCCAAGCTCCCACGCGATCAAATATTAGAATTGCAATTCAAATCCAATCAGATGCGTGCCCACATCACCCGGCATAGTCAACTCACGATATGGTCGATACTATGAGGTCATTACGAGGATACCTCAAAGTATGCTTGAAGACAGTACAGCGGAATTATCGACCGACGCGCAGCAGAGGTAGATGCGACGGCGTACTGTCTGAGTGTATACTTTGAGGTATCCTAGTAATAATCTTATTATTAAACATCCTTTCCTTCCAAGGATACATCATGAGAATGCCGAAATCCAAAAAGTTTAGAACAGAATCAGCGAACTTCTTTGTGTGGATTCCGATCAAACCCTGGTGGCAGCCATGTTTGTTTTTATTACTAGAGGACGCTTACACGCGTAATCATTCCATATTTGGAATTCGCATTTTCTTATATGGTAGGATGAAAATACCCTGTAAAATACCACAAAATTACCGCACGCTGTAACTTATGGCGTTACGGTGACAAATCAGGAAAAAATACCAAACTTTCATAGCCAAACGGGCAACATTAAGACAACCGCTAAATAAATAAATTTGTCGTGTTTGTGTGGAAAATCTCTTGCATACGAACACCTAATTTCACGAAGAGCTTAGAACACCGGACTTTTTGAAAGCGAAATCGTCATTAAAGGATAGACAGTTACAATCCCCATTAATGGGTTTGATTTTCATGTCCCATGCATTTGCCATGCTTCCCAATCTACTGACAAGCGCAGTAGATTTTTCAAACATTTACGAGAGCTGAATTGCGTTTTTTGAATTCATAAATGACACGTAGTGAAAGTGGAGTATGTTCTCTTTTGAGAATCTCTTCTCAATAGTAATACTACTTTCAATAACGACGATGCTTTATAGAGGATATCTACACGCTCTGTATTCGTATTGAAGTAGGAGTAAATCCATAGTCAGGGAGCACTCCGTATTGTACTTCAAGTATCATTTTTCATCTCGGCATGTAAATGAATCTGCAATTCATCTACGTGCTTAATACTATAGTTCGCTAATTTGCAAATGACTATCATCATATTATTGTTCATTCATGTAACCCCGAGAAACACCAATTAATGCCAAATATATCATGTGTTGGAACGATTTCTGTGTGATGTTTTCAAAAAATCGACTTATGCTGCCGGTCATCTTGTCTTGAATGTTTCTATTACGACGATAAGAAAGTGAGAAAAGTAGCAAATAAACTACATGTATACCTAATATGCGCCATCTAACAATTTTATCCAGCTTCCTATGTAATTTTTCGTTTCTATTTGTTCAAGCACTAACCGGAATTTTAGATAAGCAACCTCATTATGTATTTTTTGGTTATTAATTTGCTTAATTGCTTTAACATTGAGGGCTGCTTATCCACGTATATTTAATGTTCAGAGATGGAATTCTTGATAGAGTCTCTGGAGTATAATATTATTTTGTTTTTCTTGTCCAGTATTCAAACACTTTGTAATGCATGGAAAACATCGAGTTTGATCTTCACATGTGATGTTTTTGCCATTATGTATCTGTTGCCGATTTGCCGAAATAGTCGATCCATTGAGAGTTGCCATTTCTTGATATATCCATTCTTATGTGTGTCTCACAATGAAAATGTAATTACATGCTTTCATCCACTTTCAATCTCCAGGTCCCCTATACATGTTGCAGAATTAAATCTGTGGTCACAGTGCATTGTACAAGTAAAGTATCTTCTCTTTTGTAATTTCGCCCAATACTAGTTTTAATAAGTTGTGAGTTATTTATTTAGAAAAAGTACTGATTATAGCAGAACTGTCTACGAGCTGAATGGAATGTGTTGTTGGGCATTGCTTTGTTAACACGATAATACAACATGGTTGATACATTAGTCACATCTCGTGTCCGATGTCATCATTATTTCATTGATTGCATGTCCCTATCTGCAAAGGTGATTGTAATGATACTGTTATCTACAATAATGAGGGAATTCAAAACTAATCATGTCTGCGCATTGAACACATGCATCTATGTACCATGTTTCATTGAAATGTCACGATTAGTTCTTGAGATGTCATTAAAAAAGCTAAACATTAAACATGGTTACAAATTCATAATACTGTCGCGGTGTGATGTGGGTCTTTAATTAAATGAGCTTACGAAGTACTGTATCCATCTAGGCACGTTCTTCAAAAGCCGTTGTTGCCTTTTTCATGTGTTCCTTGCACGTGATTGCTAAATATTGGACACTGGATATCAGTAATAGTGTATATAGCTGTATCACTGGTAGCAGTCAACGCTGCTGCTGACTTTTCAGTTTTTTTCAGTTTGTGTACGCTTTTGTTGCTGTAAACTATTATGTTATTTCTGTGTGCAAATAAAAAAAGAGAATGTTGCTGTGTTACGGCTTTTTATGTTTATTATTGTTGTTCGAACTGCGTTCGTTTTTTTTATTTCAATAATAATTATTACCGCAATGAATTTTAATTATTACCTAGTCATCAGTACGGTTCCCCATAGTATATAATATATTTCACCTTCATGCCTTGCCTATTTTTTTCAATATTGGAGAATGTATTAGACATTAATTATGTCAAGAATTTATAATGATACAATGTTGTCCGGATTTGATAT